GTGACGATATTGAACTGTGTTCCATTGATTAAGTGACAACGTATAACTGATTGGACAACTGAAATTACAATCCTCCTTACCAAAGTGTGTATTGGACCTGTTGTTCCTACACTGTCCAAGGCAACCCTGTTGTGTTTCAAGTGGGAGATGAAGCGTTATGAGAGGAATGAAACAATGCGATCTGATGCACCCTTACAGCACAAGGTTTCTCGCAAAACGTCCTGTGATTGATAGCAGCATGATGAAATGTGGTTAGTGTTTTCTCTTTGGCAATATAGATACGAAGCTTTACATGTAAGTTCCCGAAAAATTACATGGTCTAGTTCAAATAGTTCCAAACCACAAAACACCCTCTTAACTTGTTTGAGGCGTTCACTTACAATCTGACGGATGTGGTATACCATTCTAAGTGATTATTTGATCAGTCAGGGATGAATTATGCCCTTGCGTGTTAAACTATGAAGTCTTATTCTGAATTGCTAGAGTTAGAGTTTATGTAGTTGACATGAATCTCACTAAGACTCCAGAAGAGCTTGAGAAAACTACCTCGCACCTGAAGATGAAATTTGAGATGAAGGATCTGAAGAAAACTCGTTTATGCCTTGACCTGAAGTTGAAGCATTGGTTTGACAGTATTTTGGTCTACAGTCGAACTACACCCTAAAGGTGTCACCTTTGAGTATACCCATGATCGTCTATACGTTATATGCAAATGAGACCCTTGAAGAGGTTATGGAATCCGAAATTCCATATCTAAGTTCAACTTTGCACTTCGTTGTACTTAACTCATTGTAATAGACAAGGCATCTCCTTCGCTGTTGATCTATTGATAAAGATGCAACACCACGCCTACACGCAACTGATAGGATTAAAGCACACCACAAAGTAGCACACAAATGTCCTATTGATTTTCCTTATTAACACTAAGATTTGTCAATTGTAGCATATGAAAATAAGGGTATTCCCCGCAGAAGATTGTTTTATCTAACTACTTAAAATGTCACAAACACTGGGCTGTTGTCCCTACTGACCAGCCACTGAAAAATAATTATTAGACCGACTTACACTTATCTAAAGTGTACGAAATTTTATATGAAAATACTAAACACACAGAGCTACATTCACACAAATATTTGGGATTTTTAAAGTTGATTTGCTATTTAAATTCAATCAAACAAAAACAGGACAAAAAAAGATTTTTAAGTAGTTTACAAATTAAGAAAAACGAGTTAGGAGAATTGCTATCCACCACTAAAAAATCATGCAAACATGTTATGTTTCATTCAAATTCCTTCTATTTCCGGATGAAGATGCTTAAGTTGGCTCAATGTTAGAACTCAACCTATTACTCTTTCTTATGTGGTATGTTAAGAGAATGGCGTTTTCAACTTAACTCAGTCCCTAACATGCAATCTAGAATGGCATGTTCATAGATTTAACAAGTAGAAATCATTAAGAACGAAAAGAGTTTGAGTCATCACAAGGCATCTTAAGTACTAGCATTGTCTTACTTATCCTAGAAATTGATTCACATGTTAATCACAAAAAACAAGTACTACTTTAGAACATATGTAGGTCCACACACATATTCATAGCATTAGAATCCTAGATATGCTTACTAAGTATGCATCCGTAAAGAATACATCAATGAGACAAGTAGTGAACCAACTTTCATCCATTCATAAAAGTAATTCAAGCAAAATGTCATAACAAACTTGCAATCATATTCAGGGCTTCAAAACAGCCCCTAACTACTAAAAATTTAGTTACACAATCCTTAAATTAAAACAAAAGATAGACATGAGTTTGAGAAAATAGAACCAAAAGAAATCGACTGAGGCTTTCTCTTTCCTTCCTTCCCCAACGCTACTTTTAAACCAATTCTTGCTGCATCATTTTCTTCTCTTTAACTAACCCACTAATAGCCATTTAGTGATGACAATAAGTGAGAGGAAATGGTAAAACAATTGTAACTCCTTGGGTAGCCTTTATGCCAATAACTCCCTCATAATCCTCATCTTTAATTCCATTTCCTCTGATATTTGAATAGGTGTCAGCTGGTTTGTTCTTGGCTGCATCAGTTTTGGCTGCTAGATTTATTGGGTTTATTGCCTTCAATGCTTTCTTGTCAATTACAAACTGCTCAGCCTCTTGGGAACCTTTTAGTGTTAAAACAGCCATAACTTATTCTAGAAAAAAGATATTAACAATCCGTGAAATACTCCAGAAAATAGACATCCGTAGCTTTCCAAGAATATAAGGCTCGTTCTCTAATTCATTCTGAGTTGTCCGCAACTTGTTTCCAAAGTCAGCTGATCTGCACTGGCAGTTTCGACGAATTTGTTACTTAAAATCCAACTTGTGCTATTTTTCTTTTCTTTGCTTGACAAATCCTACAAAATACAAAAACAAAGTAAATAACTCAGAAATATAAGGAACTAACTAAGAAAAGACAAGTGAATTTTATATAAAGTATATAAAAATATGAGCTTACCAGCAACCACTAAATTGGTATTAAAGACGTACTCTGAAGGTACTACAAGGGCAAATCCCATCGCATCTCGAGCGGATCCAACCCCCTGATCCTCAGAATGATGCTTGCCTTGTTTGTTGTGCTGACGCAGGTTACTTATCAAACTCTCACAAGGCAAAATCCTCAAATGGTTATGTCTTTACCATTTAGGGATATCACAATATCTTGAGGGTCCACGATATGACCTTAGTTGCGAAATTTTCGAATCATTCCAAGACTCACCTCACTTCACTACGCCATAAGTGAGGCATGGTTAGGAGTTCTTATTGAGCATATTTGAAGGACTTGCTGTGTTTTCATCCATCGTTGAGTCCCAAAGACAATCCATGAAGACTATGTTGCATGTATCCACCCAACTAAGACATGATACATCAACAAAGTCAACGCCAAGACATATTGCGTCTACATATACATCATCAAAGCATTAGGATATTGAAGTCATGCAAGCCGACCTCTATATGATGTCAATGTCGAAGTCAACCTTCCAAAAGCTTGTCTAAGGAAATGGTATGCCTAACTATCATATACAATGCTTATAGTTCTCATTCGGAAGTTATGTCAAACTCAGGGGGAGTACCCAGAAGTATACTCACTTGATCTTAATGTACTCTTTTTCCCTAAGATTATGAGCATTTTTCCCACTGGGTTTTTGCTACCTAACTAGGTTTTAACAAGGCAACCATCCTGAACTGATCATAACCTTGTGAGCTCTTCTACTTGCGTCCAAAAGATGTATAGTTTTGACTTGATGCAACTTCTCACTTTTCTCCTTAGTCTATGGGTTTTCTTCCACCTTGGGTTTTACCATAGCTAGGTTTTGTGAGTTTTACTTTTTATGCATTTTTCCGTTGATTTGAGACTCACATTCACTCATTGTGCCGAAAACTTCATCCAATGTACTTACTTCATCGCTAAAGACCTGATGCGCCATTCACTTGAGTATTTACACACTCAAGGGGGTGTGTTGCAGTCCTATTAGATTAAAAATGTGATTGTGTAAATCCTAGTGTATCTAGGGATATCTTTTATATTCCCTTTAGTAGTCTACTTCCTATTAAAGTTGTAATCCTAAAAGGATAAGGATTTTACCTATCCTACTACTATAAATAAAGGCACAATAGGGTGGAATAGAACACACCCACAATTACACATCTCTCTCTTCTCTCTCTATGCTACACCTTCTCTCTCTTTCTAGCCTCATAATTGTTCAGTAAATTATGCCTACAACAATTTTCATTTTACTCATTTTACTATCTTCAAGTTTTGTAGAAATCACACTTTTCTATAGTTACTTTTTTGTCTCACTTTCATAACTGAAGTTTGATTTTTCGATCACTTTCACACTTTTGTTAGTTTTTTTGTCAAGTATTCCACTAATTGATAACATGGTATAGCTTTACCTACCATTTTTTCCACCGTGGCTAATCAGGTTCCCTCTCTGCTAGAATTTTCTCAAGTCACTCGTGTGCCCTTTCTTCTCTTCCTAATGAAGCAGATCACCTACATACAGAGAAAGAGAACTAAAATATCCTCCTGACTTTCTTTCATAACATATTTTTAGTTGGTGTAATTCATTGGTGCTCTTTTCCCATCTCAAAGTCAAGGATATTTTTCTAATGTTTTGAATTCATATTTCTTTGAATTTTAAAGTTATCAAAGACTTATTGTGAATTGCACTTCTTTTCTTCTACTAGATTTTGGCTTAGAATCTCTTGGTAGAGTAATATAAGTGAGTTTATATTACCAGGCTTAGTATGGGTGGACTACTAGGTTAGAGTTTGAGTGACGAACACTTGAAGGAACCAAAATTGCAACAGAATATTTTTTTGGCAATTAGTTGGAATAATCTACATGTGGTTGCAGAAATGATAAAGTTTTAATAACGACGACATATTGATTATCTATCGACAACATAACAATGACATAACAATACCTTTTTATTGCTCTATCCAAATGTCAAAAAATGATTATTAAGAAAACCTAGGCTACGCACGATAACTTTATACATGGCTCTATCTCCTTAATATTACTTACTTGAGCGTCACAATGTCTTTAACTAGGATCGCACTGGTGCCCATCATCCTCAAGACTTGCCCATCTTGCATGTTGTGTTAGTAAATTTCAAAAAGCGGAAAGATCGTGCTTGAACACATTTTTCAAACCATTAAGTCATGAAATGAAACACAACAATCTTATAGTCGTTGAACAAACTTATCAATTATTTCTTATCATATTATCTTATTGGATCTAAATGTCAATATGATAATGCATTAAATACATGTAAATTTTGTAGCTAGTTCTTATTTTATGGAATTTGGCTACAATCATCAGTTTAGCGATATGAACTATTTATTTGCTTAACCATCTTAACCATTCAAAACTCGTACGAAGCCATAACAAAACCACTATAAAGTCTCCAACCTTCTAATCATATCAAGCACCAAATATAAACACTGAAATTAGTGGGAATTAAAAATATTCTCATTCATTACAACAAGTAAAGTAAAGAAGGCTTAATTAATGGTAGCTCACTTGAAGAAAAAAAATCTCTTTAATGCTCACCATAGTAACGTAGAAACTGTAACCAGACCACTCACTCTTCAGAATGTAGAAACTAACCGAGCTGATGAGCATAATGTTTCTCACTGTAATCATAATCCGAGATTTTGCTTAAAATCTTCACTCTGGGACCTCCCCATCTCACTAAATTCTCAAATTTACATCTGGGTTTTCTTGTTCGTCTGGATTCTGATGCATTCATTGCAATTTTTTTTCAATGTTCAAGCACAATGTGTCTCATTCCTTCACTGACACCCACTGATTTCTTCTGATACAGCATCTGGGTTTTTCTTCAGCTTCAGCTCCAACCATTTCCCGGAAATAATTTTCTTCTTCTGGGTTCTTTGGCATTTCGTCAAACAGTTGGAGTGCAACTGGGTCGCAAGTTACATACCAACATGAGTACTCCATTACCTACTCACCAATTTTTTGCTCGATATCTTGAATCCGTTGACAACGGGCGTCAGATAAAACATCAAATTCCTACTGAGGAGAAAGAAATCAAAGCTCAATCTGACATCAAGTCCCAAGCTTTCAAGAAACCCAGAACTTCTGAAGCCGTATCGAACTCGAATGCGGCCTCAGGACAGAACAAAATGTTGCCTAGCTATTACAAGACCAAACTGTGCCGCAAATTCCAAATGGGTTGTTGCTCTTCTGGGCAGAGATGTTCCTTTGCTCATGGCACCAGTGATCTCCGCAGGACTTTGCGTGATGCGCAAGGAATGGAAACTGAGAACGGAAACTTGGCCAGGAGGACTTGGAATGGTGATCATGGAAGTTCTAATGGAGTGAGAATATGCAGGTCGTTCTTTAGATGGGGAACATGCAGTTACGGAGACAAATGCCGCTTTCGTCATGTCAATCCTGAAAATATCAGAGATAGTTTGTTCATAAGCATTTCAACAGCTGGTGGTTCTGCTCAATTTGACTGCAAGAAGTCTCTGGGTATGGATTTTGACACTACTAAGTTTTATATGTTCAGAGGATGATTTTTTTCGGGTTCAATGTAAATTACAATTTTGGATAGGATACCTGCATTGCACAGCTTGGCTAGTTTTTCCTTCTGCGTGTATGTGTGTGTGATGATCGTATGAATGTTTAGATGGTCTACTCTTTGTTAGAATATCGGTTGATTTCTCATGTGCTCTAGATTCGTTTAACTTGCACTACAAGAAAAGTTGTCAAAAGTAAAACCCAATTGGTTCAGTATCAGAAAATTCAGAAACCACACTCGACCTTTGGAGCTTTTTCTGTTAAGAAGGTATTGAATCATGCCAATAGGTTGGACTGGTGAAGGACTTGAACGTTAGAAGAGGCACCCGGGACATTCATCTAATGAACTAGGTATTTAGATTGCATAATGCTGAATCACTGATTGCAATTTCCTCAGTTCTTATTTCGAAAGTGGCCAGGCTTCTCCAAGTATGAAAGAAAGAAAAAAGTCCAGACCTTTCCCAATTTGATTAATTCAAATTGATATTCAATGTGTATGATTTCATAGTGGCATCAGACTTTTTTTTTCGTCTTGCTGCAGACTGGGTATATAGGTTTATATTGAGATTGTTTCTTTCTGTCTCTGGTTGTCTTGGCTTGTAATTAAAATGGTGCAACTTTTTCATATGCTTTTATAAAAGTTGTGCATTAGTCGTTCATACAATTTAACCACCACCTTTTTTTATTTAGAGCTTTTTTCTGTTAAGAAGGTATCAAATCACGCCAATAGGTTGGACTGCTGAAGGACTTGAACTTTAGAAGAGGCACCCGGGACATTCATCTAATGAACTAGGTATTTAGATTGCATAATGCTGAATCACTGATTGCAATTTCCTCAGTTCTTATTTCGAAAGGGGCTAGGCTTCTCCAAGTATGAAAGAAAGCAAAAAAGACCAGACCTTTTCCACTTTGATTAATTCAAATTGATATTCGATGTGTATGACTTAATAGTGGCATCAGACTTTCTTTTTCGTCTTGCTGAAGATTGGGTATATAGGTTTATACTGAGATTGTTTCTTTCTGTGTCTGGTTGTCTTGGCTTGTAATTAAAGTGGGGCACTTTTTCATATGCTTTTATAAAAGTTGTGCATTAGTCGTTCATACAATTTAACCACCACCTTTTTTTATTTAGTTTTACCTGGCATTTCAAAGTGTGGCACAAATTCATCTGTAGCCATCTCCAATGATAAATGAGAGGAGTCGATGACCCTGTAGAACCGATCATGATTCAAGAATTGCTGACTATTGACGGATGTGCAATGATTTTAAAAGAACAAATTTTGAGATGCATTGTTGTTAATTTTGCAGAACTAAGGAAGCTTTGTGGCTCTACTACACCAGAATGTGGAAGTGTGCAGGCCAACAGTTTAATGACTTATACGAGGGGCAACAATGCGTCAAATCGTAGGATGGGGGTTGCGACTGCTTATAAACATGGTCAGAGTACGCAGTGCAACTTAGAGTGGAACGAACTTGAGAAATTGAGTCGCATCTATGCTGATTGGATTGAAGATATGCCTCTTCTACGTGGCTCATCAAGCAAAGTGGAGTGTTACTCGAGTTTAGTGTGACATGTGTAAGGAAGTAGATTAGTTCTCTATAGATATAAGAAGCTTGTTGTAATTTCCTCTAACACCTTCGTTTTGTCGAGTGAGTGGGGATTGACTTCGATTGTGACCCGTAGTCTGGTAAACACAGGAGATGCTTCATACCTAAGAGCCTACAAAGCCAGATTTTAAATATCTTGATTTTCCGTATCTCTGTTGTCTAGGGATTTTAGCCGTTATCTTCCGAATTTTATGCACATTGTTATTGTAAAGACGTATTTTCAGTTTACAAGATATGGTGTGGCACTGTCACATGAATGTAGCCAAGAAAATTCTCCTTTGGCTATTTCTGTTCTTGGTTCTCACATGTGTGCATCTGTTTACGTGCATGAATTTGCAGTCTTCTTGCAAACTAAAACTATGGTGGGACGGCAGGGACTTAAACCCGTCATGTTTGGGATTAGGATGGCCCCTTCTGGATATCTTTGGTTTCAGATATTGTAACAAGAGGTCTTAATCTTCACATGCAGAAACAGTAAAAGAAACACAGACTTTGAGATTTAATGAACACCAGAATATACATCGGTAGGCCAGCAGCCATGTTATTTGTAATAGGTATTCCATGTTCGTCTCTTTGGAACTGGTGCTGGTACAGCTCCAGACGAATTTCTGTCTTTACACTTTTGATGACCTGCACTCGAACTCTACACCACTAGGATGGAAAGAATCACTCAGATGTTGTAGATATATCATCTCTGAAGAATATGAAACATGTTCATATCCTTCACATTGTGGAATATCCTAATTTGGACTACTTGAAATTTATTGTGCAGAACGAGCACATAAGGATCCTCGGATGTCAATGGTGACGAATCACGTGTGCTTCCTTGGCCTTCAGTTTGTACAAGATGCCGAAATCTTGGGAGAAGAATGTCCAGCGCTGAAGAAGCTGCCACTTAAAAGAGGACAGAAGCATTCTACGTCACTTGGCCGACAATGGTGGCTGGAGAGTCTGCTGTTAATTGTATAAAAGTAGTAGAATGCATGATTTTCTTAGAACCCAACGTGAGGTTCAACAATAACAATATACACAAAGCTTAGAATATATATGAGCGTAGATTGAATGAAAAGAATCACAGAATATGGAATTTCGAGGTTTTGAATATCCAAACAACAGCACAATATTGAATATATTATGGTATGCACCTGTATACAAGCAGAATCATCCTCCTTGTTCTTACGTAAGGCCCTCTTGCTGCCTCACTTAGTTGTCGTGTTTTGGAAGCAGGGAAGAAAAACTTTTCGAGTATCTTCGTCCTCCCACTCCAAGAAAGACCACCAGTACTCATGTCCTCTGATTACAATATTGCTCCCCTCAGCACTTGTGGAGTTGAGTGGAAGCTTTCTCAGCGCTGTGCATGCAAGTACCTTGATTTCTTTCAGGTACGGAAAGGGCAGGGCTCTATCATGTATGCTATTCAGCCGTGGAAGCGAACTCAAACTCAGAACGGTAAGTTTTCCAAAAGGGTTCAGTTCTTGTACCACATTTCCAACTCCACCCAGTCTTTCCAGATCGATTATTTTCTCAATATCATTGCAGGCATCTACACGTAAATGGCTGAGATTTGGAGAAAAAATGAGCCAAGTCATGTCTTTGAGATCTGGGCATCGTGATACTTCTATGAACTGAAGGCAAAGGAAGCAATTTTGTTTTATCATCATTAAATCCCGGGGATCATTGGGTGCTCGTCCTGCCCAATAAACTTCCAATTGTTTCCAATTAGGAGTTTCCCGAATATAAAGGGTATCAAGATGTTTCATATCCACCAAAGATGAAATGTCTAGAAAGCTTGCTTGGTTCTTGCCATCCGAGAGCTGTAGAGTCCGAATGCGGGTCACCAATTTGTGGTAGCTGAACAATTTTTGGAAACAAGAGCTACTTCGTACGCTTAACGTCAAGACTTCAAGGTATTCCAAACCCTGAATTTCCTCTATCAGGGCACCCTCACCATCAAAAAAAATTCTATCTGAAGAACCGCATGCTAAAGTTCTCAAAACTTTTAGCACTGGAAAACTTGATATTAGATTCGGTGGAACAAAATCAAGCTTATCCATATGCTCCAAGTCCAAATACTTTAGCCTTACGCATGCCTTTAACTGAACCGGCAACTTTCTTAAACCAGTTCTTGACAAATTGAGATGTTGTAACGAAATCAGTTTGGAAACGCCAGATGGCAATTTGGTTATGTTCAGATTTTCAGACAAATCCAAAACTCGCAGAGTAGGCATATGATCGAAAAAGCCATCAGCAATCATATTCAAAGGACCTCCTCCACCTCTAAGTAATAGGGTCAACAGATTTGGAGATTTTGGTGTTTCAACCAGACTTTTAAAATGACTACCAACCAATGATACCCTTTTTGTGTTCTTCCATTTCTCCACATTTGGCGTTCTCGGGAGACCTGTGTGCACGAGGATACTCTCGTTTTCTTTCCCACAGTCACAAGCCAACCACAATGCCATGTCACGAATTACGTCATGCATTTTTACAAAATTTCCTTCCTCTTCCAACAAACATGCAGAAAGGAGAGTTCCTATGATATGGTAAGTCTCATTTTTTGCTTCATCTACGTTAACATCTTCAAACATCTCCTCACACATCCAAAAATATAATAAATCATCTTTACTTATCAGGAAATCTTCCGGAAATAGAGCACAATATAAGAAGCATGATTTGACTTTCTCACTTCGTAGATTATCGTAACTAAATTTTAAGAGAGGAAATACCTTGTCCCCCATCATGGAAAACTCCGAGGCAGATTCCTTTAGAACACGAATTGCATGCTTCCATTCGTGGGGTGTTTTCTTGCACGCCATGGCTCTTGCAACTGTAATTATTGCAAGTGGCAAACCGTCACACTCATTTGCCACTACTTGCGCAAGTTTGGGGATATCTGGATGACTTTGAAGAGTTTCTTTGCCCACCTTCTCCTGAAACAAGGTCCATGCTTGGTTTGGCATTAGACACCTGACTTTCATCTTTATTTGAGCATCCATACAACTACATATATGCTCCAAGCGAGTTGTGAATATTATCTTCGACTTCTTATTGTTAGCTGGACCAGGAGTCACTGGATTAGGAATCGCTGGATTAGGAATCCCAACTTTAGTCATTTCAATCGGCTCCCATATATCATCCAACAATAGCACAAATTTCTTCTCACTCAAGAACTTGAAGATGTGTTGAGCTTTTTCATGCGGCTCTTTGTGCTTCCATTTGTCATTAAGAATCCCAAGCTTTTCACCAATCTTATCCTGGAGGATGTCAAGTCTGTGGTCTTTTGAGACCACGATCCAAATCACAGGATCAAAATGGTAAGAAGTACTAAAGGCGAACTTGTTATGGATTTTGGTAAGGAGGGTGGTCTTGCCCACCCCTCCCATTCCATATAGCCCGATTGTTCCCACCTGGTCATCTTCAACATGCCTCCAGACCTGATCAAACATCGACTCCATCCCCACTGTTGGTTCAGTAGGCATTTCATAGACTACACCTACCGGTAAGCTTTCTGTTGCCACCTCTTCAAAGCTTCCCTTGTTTTTCAAGGCATCCACTTCCACCAACATTTTAAACACTTTTTTTCCGTACTTGTAGCTGGGAAAGTAGTTCTTGGAGCAGTAAACTCCGCTACATGATTTCTGAATTTCTCGATCTGCACAATTTTCAACTTCTCTGACTTGTGTCTCAATAGTTTCCGCCTTTTTAATCCACAGTTGTACCTGGTCCAAGCGCATCATGGATGTCTGAAGCTCGGCAACCTCAACCCTTCTCACGAGATCATTCTTTAAAGCGGTCAGTTCTTGCAAAGATCGATCCAGAGCTTCAAGGTTTTCTCCGAGCTTGTTGATGTAGTTTGCTTGTTGACTAAGGAAACCCCAGCAGCAGAAGTTAGCCGTGGGATCGCAAGATATGGAGACTGAGAAAATGTTCCCCATGGCTTGCAGGAATACTGAAAAATGAAACGATGTACTTTTGTTTGGGAGAGGAATTAGGTAAGTGTTTGTAAACAGGATGATATGTGGAATTAATCATTGCAATGCCTGTACCTTTACGTTGTGTCGGTCGGGCTCACCAAAAATTTTATGTCACTTTAATCAGAAGACCCAATAATTCACTCTTGACTTCCAGATAGACATTTTAGGATTCATGTAGTGAATTGAGTTCTGGTATCAACAAGGAAATTTGCAAATTGGGTTTCGTTTGAGATTTAATGTTTTATCGTGACAAGTTTCAGGTTATTTGAAATTAAAGGAATTGGCTGTTTTCATTTCTTTTATTTTCGCATCAAGATTATATGAAATCTGTATTTATAAAGTGAGCAACACAATTTGGTGAAAGATTCAATAAACCTAATATTGCTCTTTGTTTCCTTCACATTCAAAAATTAAAAAAAGTTCAGTCACTTAATACTACGGTTTAGTGGTATTTCTCTTTATTTGTAAGTGAGAGATCTTAAGTTCAATTCTTGTCAAAGGTGAATTTGAACTATATTATCGCTAGCCCATTATGAGGCTTAGCCCACCCCCTCCCCTTAGATCATCTCCAACCCAGAAAATTTAGGTTTTAACCAGAAACAACTTTTCTGCTTCAATCCTTATGACCTACAATTTTGCCCAAGATTATTAAGGAATGAATTTAGGTTTTTTTTTTAAATTAACTTTAAAAAAAAATTATGTAGACTATCCTAATTTAATTTTATGAATACTTTAACTTAAAAATATTTAGATTTCAATAAATATTCAAAAATACTAAACCAACACCATGAAACTCATAAAACACTATAGAAGAATATGAAATACATGATCAATGTAAGATCCCACATCGTCCAGGGAAGTGGATCATGTGAGCCTTATGTGTATATTCTCATCTCTACCTAGCACGATACCTTTTGGGAGCTTACTGGTTTTGGGTTCTGTAGGAACTCCGAAGTTAAGCGAGTTCGCGCAAGAGCAATCCCGGGATGGGTGACCCACTGGGAAGTTCTTGTGTGAGTTCCCAAAAACAAAACCATGAGGGTGTGGTAGGGGCCCAAAACGGACAATATCGTACTATGGTGGAGTCGAGCCCGGGATGTGGTGGGGGCCCGGGTCGGGATGTGACAATAGAGATGTATATTAGATCTTATTTTAGTCATTGGATTTAAATTTGGACCGTTAGATCTTTTTTTTATCATTGAATTTAATCGTATTAGATCTCAGCCGTTGGATTCAATAAATTTATAAATATAAAACAATAAAAAAAGAGAAATTTGAGTGGGGCTACAAAAAGAGCCATTGGATCTAATTAATCCAAGCCATAGATGAAGAAAGAGCCCTTGGGCTCAGCGACAAGGCCGACAACACCCACGTGGGTGGGACCTCTGGGCTTTAAAGCTTCTACACGTTTGAGGCGTGAGGTGCGCTAAGCGTCAAGCACTTTTCTTTTTGCTGGCACATCCACACGCAGATGTGGGCCAGCCCACTAACCTAAACTCAAATCTTGGCCAGAATCTGGCTTTTTTTTAGGTTTTAGGTTCTAACTCCAAATTAGAACTAGGCTTGGAATGGATTTTTTTTTTTTTTTTTTTTTTTTTGGGGGGTGGGGGTGGGGGGGGCGCTCGGGCGGTGGGTTGTTGGGAATAGAAGGGAAATTATAGGTTTTAGGCCATGGGTTGGAGTTGGTCTTAGTCTAGATAATATCGGTTGTTCCAAAAATAAAAAAAAAATCAGAAAATCAAAACAATATGGCAAAACCTGCATTCCAAACACATCAGAAGAAGGAGAAGAAAAAAAAAAAAAAAAAAGAGTAATGCTATATTTACCATCTATTTATACCATCTCTCTAATAGAAGTAAGATCCACTAACACAAGTGGGCCACATCTCTATTAGATAGATGATACAATGATGCATGAAACCAAAATTTTGTACCGTTTTTCTTGATTTTCATATCTCTGTTGTCCAGGGATTTTAGCCGTTATCTTCCGAATTTTATGCACATTGCTATTGTAAAGACATGTTTTCAGTTTACAAGATATGGTGTGTCAATGTCACACGACTAAAACTAGCAAAAAATAGTTTGACTAGGGTGAAGTATGTCAAAACCTTATTTCCAATTGCAGATAACCTTAGAAAATTCTCCTTTGGCTATGTTTGTTCTTGGTTCTCACACATGTGCGTCCGTTTGCGTGCATGAATTTGCAGTCTTCTTGTGAATTGATCATCTGGTTCAACAGGAAATTCATCATTGGTGGAGACGAAGAAGATTCATCATCTGGTTCAACAAGAAATTCGTCCAATCTGCACTCCTTGTGATTCTATGTTCATGGGTTAGGGGTTCTTGTAGCCACTAATTTCATCCTTGTAGCGTTCTTTATCTTGACGAGCCTTTGCTTCATATTGCTCGTTTTCCTCTGCTGAAAAATGGAAAACATTATGTTAACAAAGTTATACTTCGCAGAAATTCCTCATGTTGTGGAAGCACACAAGATGTAATATGGTAGAATCACACATACCAGACATTTTTCTCCACTTCTCGCCAAGCACTCTTCCCACATCAGTAAACGCAATTCCAGGGTTCTCTCTCTTGACATTCTGCGGTCAACACAAATAAGGTCAATAATTTCTTCAAAACATAAATAATAACTAGAACCAAAAGTTAGAACCAATAAATAGAAATTAAAAAACTCACATCTCTCTCCATATTTGAGAAGAACATGAAAGCAGACATCGCTCTTTTGGGTGCATTAGGATCCTTTTTCTTTTTCAGTTTTTTCTTCTTTGAACCGTCTTCACCATGAAACACCATGAAAATAATAGAGAAGAATGATTCATGAGATACATTGTTAGGAATTGGCTTGTCAATGGTTACAGGAACCATTCAAGCTTAAAGACATATCACCTCTGGCGCATATGGAACATCTGGATACCCTTCAAAATTTCAAACAAGCAATTTCATCATCGAAGGAGACACAAAGAGGTGGAACGGCTAAGTTTGGGAAGATGAAGTTGCTAAAAATGTTTTTCTTCCTTGTTTCAAACCCTCTATCTCTGGGCTGAGGAGGGATGGTTGGGGACCAGTTTGAATGTGTCCTTTATTCTCTCTTTCTTCCATTTGGTTTGTTTTTTTTTTTTCTTTCATGCATTTCATGCTCGTAGTTTCATTCTGTTGGCACTGCTATAAGTTCAAGGGATAGAGCCAGCCTTGAACTTTGGGGTCAACTATGACCCTGAAGGATGGGGTAGGTTGGGCTGGGGTGGAGAAATTTTACCCAGTATACCACCTATCATAATATAAGTGGAGAGAAGTTTTTTCCAAGTGTCCCTCCACTTGAAAATAGAATTAAGGATATGTTGACTCAAAGTAGAACTGTAGAAATGTAAAAGCTGAAACAAATGCTAGACTAATTTCTGAAGTTTTTAATTTTATAGCGATGCCAAAAAATTCAAACGTATGAGGCACTTCCAATTTGCAAAATGACTACAAAAGAGAAAAAGCAGTATCACGACACATAGGCAACAAAACTATATCGACAGACAAAAATTTTGCATTAATATTAAGATTCAAGCACAAACTGGGATGTAAGGAGGACCTGCATTTTTTATTTTTTCATGTACCTTTTTTAGCAGACTGAGCCCAGCTTATGGTTGACCTAGCCAAGGCATTCATAGGGTCAATGCATTTCTTAAGAAGAGGATCCAGGTGAAGAAGACCTCGCATATCATCGGACGCAAGAATAACAGAGTTCACAACCCTCGCCAGAAGAACCTTGAGTGCGATCCTCAAGAGGTTTTGCGCTCCCTCTATGTCCTCTCTGTTTAAGGCTTCAATAGCAGGGATTACAAAGTGTTCCATTGTCACTTTATCCGGCAGAACAACCTCAAATCCCTGTATTTATAATGCGAATGAATAAATATTGTAACATGACGTAGCAATAAATTTGTTTAGAAGTATAGTTAAGGAATTCATATTTAATGTTGTGCCTCGGCCTGTTTGTTAGTGCGGAAACAAGATTCAAATTACCTCAGCAAGATATAGACCCATAGTTGAACAGAATAAAATACAAGAAATAAAGACACTGAGAAATTTACAAGATTCGACAAAAACCTGCCTACGTCCCCGGAGACATATTACTCTTCACTATGAGAATAACAGTACAAGTATATATGACTTAAATCACAACAATAACCCAATCCCAATCCCTTGCACACCCACTCATAGAATTTTCCCAAGAACCTCACTCTACCCCAAGAGTTCTTTCACCAAAAACCTTTTACTCTAGCTCTCTTGATTTCTCTCACCCGTGCCCATGGTAGAGCCAAATGCTTTCACCATCTCTTTGGATGCTTTCCTGATGCAAGCCTCTTCCTCGGCAAGCATACCTAATGCAAGCATTTCCTTGCATTAAACAAAGGCCAAGCCATCACATTTCTAACATAATGCTCCCAAAGTCAAAAGCAAACCCACTTTTGCTTTTCCTTTGTAGCACTTGTCACTTTCAATGCAGTCCACAAACATGTGATATTTCCATCGAAAGCAAACACACAAAGTCACAAATCATCCACTACCGAAAGCACACGGGTTACTTCCTTGTTGCCAGTTCAAGATATGAGCCAATCACAACATTTAACTGGCACGAGATGAATGCCATTTAATGTCCTGGGGAACTTGTAATCTGTTTAAAACATGGCTACCAAGACTAGACAATCAAAAACAGAAGCAGGAAAATGGAATTACCTCGCTCCGCGGTTTCTCCTGATAGAATCCTGCTGTCAAAGTTGCATGGCTTGCAAGCACTCCAATCCGCAAACGACTTCCGGCTTCAAGCGGCTTCAACTTTGCTTCCTTGAGCTCCTTGACAACACACTCACCAATATGAGGAAAAGGAACAGAACATCCCTTAGAAATTTCATCATGCCAAGAATGTGATATGTGACAAGGCATTACAATGCAACAAGCTCCAGATTTTTCAAGAAAAATCCTCTTACTCAGCAAATTCTCCACAATTGGAGTGGGATCGAATTCAGGAGCTTCACTTTTACTGCTGACAGAAGGAAAAGAACTTCTCTCAAATGATAAAAGCTCCTTATTTGAAACATGGTCAGAACAAAGAACAAAAGGAGGGCAACTTTCTCCATCTCTTGAACTCCAATTGACAAGTTTTCTCATAAATTTAACACTAGAATCAACAGATAGCCCTCCAATTATGCCAACTGTGTTTGGTAGACCCGGAAATGATTTTCTAGGAGCAGTGTTTCTTAAAGCTGTACTTGAACCATAACCCTTCTTAAACTCTGAAAACGGGCCAGTTTCATCTGTGTGCAAGAGAACTGGGGATGGAGTTTTAGCTTGACCTGGATTCAACCTCGTCATATGAAGGGTTCTATGTGTATTTACAAATCCCAAGTTATAGAAAGGATAGTTCGAAGGGTGCAAAAACGTTGCTTCCATTTATCAATCTACAGCAAAAACTCCAGAATCACTACTCAAACCATATAATTCTGCTGCACGGACTTCTGAGTTGCGCAGCCTATGACAACAACCTTCTATACTTTCAACTTTACTTTAGGCTCCACAGAATAAACACCCACCTTCAAAAGTTATGAACTTCAACAGTAAATTAACATTTAACAAGGAAAGTACTGAATGAGTCAATTCAGATACTTCAAAGTATGCATTTCAAAAACAAAAACCATATCCTCCAAGATTGCAATCCTCTAAGCAGATAATGGACTCTCTCTCTCTCTCTCTCTCTCTCTCTCTCTTCACTTTTTCTTCTTTGGTAGCTCAGTGGTAGAGCGGTCAACTGTTAACTAACATGTCGTAAATTTGAATACTACTTGGGGAGGCTTGATTCATTCGGAATTAAAGAACATTGAGATCAAAATCTATACTGGAAATTTAGATAAGTAGAGGAAACTCAGACAAGATACAAAATTTCCAGGATTTGAGGATTATTATCACTATCGCTAGAAGGACCTATATTTTATGGCCCCACAGAGAATGACATGATTCATCAAGGGAATAATAGTAAAGAAAGTGGGGATAAATCATCTGGCATCTGATGACGGTGACAAATTTGGCATTACATCATGTTTCAGCAAACCAACAAAGGGCCATAATAATATATTTGATTTGTTGATTAGTTTAATCACTCTAAACTACAGTAATTAAAAAACAAAAGGTTATATTACTTAGGAGTTAGAGGTTGGTCATCTAGGCCTGTTTGATAGTCATTTCATTTTCAATTTTTAGTTTTTTACTTTTCGTGCTAGAGATATGAATAAAGTATATGAGGAAAAAGGGGATGAAGAAGGCAGAAGGGAGAGGAAACAAAATAAATAAAAGCGAAACAAAACAAAATCTTGAAAAAGAAAGCAACTTAAAATAGAATTTAGTTTTTAGTTTTCCTTTTCTGTCTTTCCTTATATATTTCTTCTACATCTCTCTCATCATTTTTCCTGCATAATGATTTTTATCTCAAACATGAAAATCAAAATCAAAAACAAAAAACAGAAATCGTAACCAGCCCCATGTTTTCTCCATGAATCTCAAATTATAACCATTGACCCTCTATTTCATGAAAAATAATTTCTTGGTGTGAAAAATGTCCAAATGGAAAGCCTTTTTTGGTTCCCTTCGCTGTTTAAAATAGACAGCTAGGATATATAAGTGGTGTACCTAATTTTTATTTTATTGATAGCACCAAAAAACATTTATTAATCAGTAAGTTTCACAGCCAATACCAAATGCTTTTGCAAATATACTTAAATCTTCCATGTGTATATTATTGTCTCTTAAATTTTATAAACTGCCATATGATTCTAACCACAGAAAGCTTGGTATATATAATAAGACATACAATGCAACATTTTCTCTGAAATACTTTCTTCATATCTCAAACACGGAAAGTTAAAAACTAAAAACTAAAAACAAAGTGGTTATCAAACACACTATTCCTTTCATTATGATTAACAAAGAATACAAAGGAGAGGAGTTTAAAAAAAATATATGAGTAACGAAGGCGCACGTCAACTTATATAAGTTTTGTTTTCACAAATCGAGGAGCTTTGCAACAACGGATTATTCTTCTTACATTTGGTTGTAGAAATAATAAGGTTTTAATAACGACGACATATGCGTCATATATCGATAGCTTAACGATGACATAACGATACTTGATCATTTCTCTATCCAAATGCCAAAAGATGATTATTAAGAAAACCCAGGCTCCGCATGATAGCCTTATAAATAGCTCTATCTCCTTGAGCATCATGGATTCTTTAACTAGCATCATACCGGTGCCCACCATTCCGAGATTTGCTCACCTTGTATGTTATGTTAGTAATTCGAAAAATGGGAACGTGCTCAAACACATTTTTCAAATCATTTAAGTCATGAAATGAAACACAACAATATTAAGTCATCACAACAATCTCATAGTCGTAAAATTTATCAATTATTTCTGATAATATTATCATATTATCTTATTGGATCAAAGCGTCAAAATAATAATTATATTAAAAACATATAAATACTATAGCCAATCCTCATTTTATTAAATTTAGCTAAAATATCATTAACTTAACGATTTTAACTATTTAAAGCTCATACGAAATAATAATAAAACCACTATTCTAAGTTTTAAGTCTCCAACATTCTAATCATTCCAAGCACCAAATATAAACACGGAAATTAATGGGAATTAAAAATATTCTCATTCATTACAAGAAGTAAAGTATAGAAGGCTTAATTAATGGTACTCACTTGGAGTTAAAAAATCTATCTCTAATGGTCATCATAGTATAGTAAAAACTGTAACCAACAAACCACTCACTCTTCAGAGTGTAGAAACTAGCTGAGCTGATGCGCGAAATGTTCCTCACTCGAATCATAATCCGAGATTTTGCTTAAAATCTTCAATGTGGCACCTCCCCATCTCACTAAATTCTCAAATTACATCTGGGTTTTCTTGTTCGTCTGGATTCTGATGCATTCATTGCAATTTTTTTCCAATGTTCAAGCACAATGCGTCTCGTTTCTTCACTGACAGTCACAAATTTCTTCTGATACAGCATCTGGGTTTTTCTTCAATTTCAGCTCCAACCTTTTCCCTATCATAATTTTCTTTTGAGTTAAACATGAGTACTCCATTACCTACTCCCCAATTTTTTGCTCAATATCTTGAATCCGGTGACAGCGGGCGTCAGATGAAACGTCAAATTCCTACTGAGGAGAAAGAAATCAAAGCTCAATCTGACATCAAGTCCCAAGCTTTCAAGAAACCCAGAACTTATGAAGCTGTATCGAACTCGAATGCGGCCTCAGGACAGAACAAAATGTTGCCCAGCTATTACAAGACTCAACTGTACCGTAAATTCCAAATGGGTTGTTGCTCTTATGGGCAGAGATGTTCCTTTGCTCATGGCACCAGTGATCTCCGCAGGACTTTGCGTGATGCGCAAGGAATGGAAACTGAGAAGGGAAACTTGGTCAGGAGGACTTGGAATGGTGATCATGGAAGTTCTAATGGAGTGAGAATAAGCAGGTCGTTCTTTAGATGGGGAACATGCAGTTAGGGAGACAAATGCCGCTTTCGTCATGTCAACCCTGAAATTATCAGAGATAGTTCGTTCATAAGCATGTCAACTGCTGGTGGTTCTGCTCAATTTGACAGCAAGAAGTCTCTGGGTATGGATTTTCACACTACTTAGTTTAATATGTTCAAATGATGATTTTTTCGGGTGCTAATTTTTCCTTTTTGCGTTTGTGTGTTGATCGTATGAATGCTCTGATGGTCTACTCTTTGTTAGAGTATCGGTTGATTTCTCATGTGCTCAAGATTCGTTTAACTTGCACTACAAGAAAAGTTGTCATAAGTAAAACCCAATTGGTTCAGTATCAGAAAATTCAGAAACCACACTTGACCTTTGGAGCTTTTTCTGTTAAGAAGGTATTGAATCATGCCAATAGGTTGGCCTGGTGAAGGACTTGAACGTTAGAAGAGGCACCCGGGACATTCATCTAATGAACTAGGTATTTAGAAAGTGGCCAGGCTTCTCCAGGTATGAAAGAAAGAAAAAAGTCCAGACCTTTTCCAAATTGATTAATTCAAATTGATATTCAATGTGTATGATTTCATAGTGGCATCAGACTTTTTTTTTCGTCTTGCTGCAGACTGGGTATATAGGTTTATATTGAGATGTTTCTTTCTGTCTCTGGTTGTCCTGGCTTGTAATAAAAATGGGGCAACTTTTTCATATGCTTTTATACAAGTTGTGCATTAGTCGTTCATACAATTTAACTACCGTCTTTTTCTATTTAGTTTTATCTAACATTTCAAAGTGTGGCACAAATCATCTGTAGCCATCTCCAAGGATAAATGAGAGGAGTTGATGACCATGTAGAACCGATCATGATTCAATAAGTGCTCACTATTGGTTGATGACCATGTAGAACCGATCATGTAGAACAAATTTTGAGATGCATTGTTGTTAATTTTGGAGAACTAAGGAAGCTTTGTGGCTATACTACACCAGAATGTGGAAGTGTGCAGGCAAACAGTTTAACGACTTATATGAGGGATGAACTTGAGAAATTGAGTCGCATCTATGCTAATTGGATTGAAGATATGCCTCTTCTACATGGCTCATCAAACAAAGTGGAGTGCTACTCGAGTTTAGTATGACATGTGTAAGGGAATGGATTAGTTATGTATAGATACAAGAAGCTTCTTGTAATTTCCTCTAACACCTTCCTTTTGTTAACTGAGTGTGGGATTGACTTCGATTGCAACCCGTAGTCTAGTAAAGAGGAGATGTTTCATACCCAAGAGCCTACAACGCCAGATTTTAAATATCTTGATTTTCCGTATCTCTGTTGTGTAGGGATTTTAGCCGTAATCTTCCAAATTTTGTGCACATTGTCATTGTAAAGACATATTTTCAGTTTACAAGATACGGTGTGGCACTCACATAAATGTAACTAGCAAAAATTAGTTTGGCTAGTGTGAACTATGTCAAAATCTTATTTTCAAGTGCTGATAACCGCAGAAAATTCTCCTTTGCCTGTTTGTTTCTCACACGTGTGCGTCTGTTTATGTGCTTGAATTCGCAGTCTTCTAGCAAACTAAAATTGTGGCAACACAACAGGAACTTAAACCCCTGTCGTGTTTGGGCCCAACCCAAGATGGCCCGTTCTGGATATCTTTGGTTTCAGATTTAGCACAATAGGTCTTAATCTTCACATGCAGAAATAGTAAAAGAACAGACTTACTTTAAGATTTCATGAACATCAGAATATACATTCGAAAGACCAGTAGCCATGCTATTTGTAACAGGTATTTCATGTTCGTCTCTTTGGAACTGGCGCTGGTAAAGCTCCAGACGAATTTCTGTCTTTATGCTTTTGATGACCTGCACTCGAACTCTCCACCTCTAGGACGGAAAGAATCACTCAAATGTTGTAGATATATCATCTCTGAAGAATATGAAACATGTTCATATCCTTCACGTTGTGGAATATCCTAATTTGGAGGAATTTGAAATTTATTGTGCAGAACGAGCACGTAAGGATCCTCGGATATCAATGATGACGAATCACGTGGGCTTCCTTGGCCTTCAGTTTGTACAAGATGCCGAAATCTTGGGAGAAGAATGTCCAACGCTGAAGAAGCTGCCACTTAAAAGAGGACAAAGCATTCTACGTCACTTGGCCGACAATGGTGACCGGAAAGTCTGCTGTGAATTGTATAAAAGTAGTAGAATACATGATTTTACACAAAGCTCAAAGTATATAGGAGCGTAAAGTGAATGAAAAGAATCACAGAATATGGAATTTTGAGGTTTTGAATATCCAAACAACATCACAATATTGAATATATCATGGTATGCACCTGTATACAAGCAGAATCGTCCTCCTTGTTCTTACTTAAGGCCCTCTCGCTACCACACTTAATTAACTTCCAATTGTTTCCAATTAGGAGTATCCCGAAGGGTATCAAGATGTTTCATATCCACCAAAGAAGATATGTCTAGAAAGCTTGTTTGGTTCTTGCCATCAGAGAGCTGTAGAGTCCAAATGCGGGTCGCCAATTTGTGATATCCGATCAATTTTTGCAAAAAAGAGCTAATCCGTACGCTCAAAGTCAAAACATCAGGTATTCCAAATCCTGCATTTCTTCCATCAGGGCTCCTTCACCGTCAACAAGAATTCTATCTGACGAACTACATGCTAGCATCCTCAAAACTTTTAGCATTGGAAAACTTGATATTATATTTTGTGGAACAAAATCAAGCTGATCCATATTCTCCAAATCCAAATATTTTAGGCTCACACAAGCCTTTAATTCAATTGGCAGCTCTCTTACACCAGTTCTTGACAAATTTAGATGCTGTAACGAAATCAAGTTGGAAACGCCAGACGGCAATTTGGTTATGTTCAGATTTTTAGACAAATCCAAAACTCGCAGAGTAGGCATATGACCGAAAAAGCCATCAGCAATCATATTCAAAGGACCTTCTCCACCTCTAAGAAATAAGGTCAACAGATTTGGAGATTTGGGTGTTTTAACTAGGCTTTTAAAATGACTACCAACCAATGATACCCTTTTAGTGTTCTTCCATTTCTTCACATGCGGTGTTCCCTGGAGACCTGTATGCACGAGGATACTCTCGTTTTCCTTCCCAGTGACAAGCTAACCACAATGCCATGTCACGAATTACATCATGCATTTTTACAAAATTCCTTCTTTCTTCCAACAAACATGCAGAAAGGAGCGTTCCTATGATATGGTAAGTCTCATTTTTCGCTTCATCTACGTTAACATACTGTTTAAACATCTCCTCACACATCCAAAAATATAATAAATCATCTTTACTTATCAGGAAATCTTCCGGAAATAGAGCACAATATAAGAAGCATGATTTGATTGTCTACCTGGGTAGATTATCGTAACTAAATTTTAAAAGAGGAAATACCTTGTCTCCCATAATGGAAAACTCTGAGGCAGATTGCTTTAGAACCCGAATTGCATGATTCCATTCGTGGGGTGTTTTATTGCACGTCATGGCTCGACCAACTGTAATCAATGCAAGTGGCAAACAGTCACACTCATTTGCCACTACTTGCGCAAGTTTGGGGATATCTGGATGACTTTGAAGAGTTTCTTTGCCCATCTTCTCCTGAAATAAGGTCCATGCTTCGTTCGGCATTAGGCACTTGACTTTAATCTTTATTTGAGCATCCATACAACTACATATATGCTCCAAGCGAGTTGTGAATATTATCTTCAACTTTTATTTTCAGCTGGATTAGGAATCGCTGGATTAGGAATCCCAACTTTAGTCATTTCAATCGGCTCCCATATATCATCCAACAATAGCACAAATTTCTTCTCACTCAAGAACTTGAAGATGTGTTGAGCTTTTTCATGCGGCTCTTTGTGCTTCCATTTTTCATTAAGAATCCCAAGCTTTTCACCAATCTTATCTTGGAGGATTTCAAGTTTGTGGTCTTTTGAGACCACGATCCAAATCACAAGATCAAAATGGTAAGAAGTACTAAAGGCGAACTTGTTATGGATTTTGGTAAGGAGGGTGGTCTTGCCCACCCCTCCCATTCCATATAACCCGATTGTTCCCACCTGTTCATCTTCAACATGTCTCCAGACCTGATCAAACATCGACTCCATCCTCACCGTTGGTTCAGTAGGCATTTCATAGACTACACCTACCGGTAAGCTTTCTGTTGCCACCTCTTCAAAGCTTCCCTTGCCTTTCAAGGAATCCACTTCCACCAACATTTTAAACACTTTTTTTCCTAACTTGTAGCTGGGAAAGTAGTTCTTGGAGCAGTAAACTCTGCTACATGATTTTTGAATTTCTCGATCTGCACAATTTTTAACTTCTCTGACTCGTGTCTCAATAGTTTCCGCCTTTTTAATCCACAGTTGTACCTGGTCCAAGCGCATCATGGATGTCTGAAGCTCGGCAACCTCAACCCTTCTCACGAGATCATTCTTTAAAGCGGTCAGTTCTTGCAAAGATCGATCCAGAGCTTCAAGGTTTTCTCCGAGCATGCTGATGTAGTTTGCTTGTTGACTAAGGAAACCCCAGCAGCAGAAGTTAGCCGTGGGATCGCAAGGTATGGAGACTGAGAAATGTTCCCCATGGCTTGCAGGAATATTGAAAAATGAAAAGATGTACTTTTGTTTGGGAGAAGAAGTAGGTAAGAGTTTTGTAAACAGGATGATATGTGGAATGAATCATTTCAATGCCTTTACGTGTACGTTGTGTCGGTCGGGCTCACCAGAAACTTTAATGTCACTTTAATCAGAAGACCCAATAATTCACACTTGACTTCCAGATAGACTTTTTAGGATTCATGTTGTGAATTGAGTTCTGGTATCAACAAGGAAATTTGCAAATTGGGTTTCGTTTGAGATTTAATGTTTTATCGAGACAAGTTTCAGGTTATTGAAATTAAAGGAATTGGATGTTTTCATTTTTTTTTTTTTGCTTTCACATCATGGTATATGAAATCTGTATTTATAAAGTGAGCAACACAATTTGGCGAAATATTCAATAAACCTAATATTGCCCTTTCCTTCACATTCAAAAATAAAAAAAAGTTCACCCACTTAATACTACGGTCTAGTGATATTCTTTTTTACCTGTAAATGAGAAATCTTAGGTTCGATTCTTACCAAATGTGAATTTGAATTACATTATTGCTAGCCCAGTATGAGGCTTAGCCCACCTTCTCCCCTTAGTGTAAATATCGATTATTCCAAAAATAAAAAAATTTCAGAAAATCAGAACAATATGGCAAAACCTGCATTACAAACACATCAGGAAAAAAAAATGCACAAAATAAGAGTAATGTTATATTTACCATCTATTTGTATCATCTCTCTAATAAAGGTAAGACCCACCAACACATGTAGATCACATCTCTATTAGATAGATGATACAAATGATGCATGAAACTAAAATTTTGTACCATCTTTCTTGATTTTCAGTTTTCAAGACATATTTTATGCACATTGCTATTGTAAAGACATATTTTCAGTTTACAAGATAAATGTCACAAGAATGCTTCGACAAAAAAAAATGTCACATGAAAACCTTATTTCCAATTGCTGGTAACCTCAGAAAATTCTCCTTTGGTTATGTTTGTTCTTGGTTCTCACATGTGTGCGTCTGTGTGTGTGCATGAATTTGCAGTCTTCTTGTGAATTGATCATCTGGTTCAACAGGAAATTCATCATTGGTGGAGACGAAGAAGATTCATCATTTGGTTCAACAAGAAAATCGTCCAATCTACACTCCTTGTGAATCTATGTTCATGGGTTGGGGGTTCTTGTAGCCACTAATTTCATCCTTGTAGCGTTCTTTATCTTGACGAGACCTTGCTTCATATGGCTCCTTCTCCTCAGCTGAAAAATGGAAAACATTATGTTAACAAAGTTATACTTCGCAGAAATTACTCATGTTGTGGAAGCACACAAGATGTAATATAGTAGAATCACACATACCAGACATCTTTTTCCACTTCTCTCCAAGCACTCTCCCCACATCAGCAAACGCAATTCCAGGGTTCTCTCTCTTGACATTCTACGGTCAACACAAATAAGATCACTAATTTCTTTGAAACATCAATAATAACTTGAACCAAAAGTTAGAACCAACAGATAGAAATTAAAAACCTCACATGTCTCTCCATATTTGAGAAGAACATGAAAGCAGACATCGCTCTTTTGGGTGCATTTGGATCCTTTTTCTTCATCTTCTTCAGTTTTTTCTTCTTTGAACCATCTTCACCATGAAACACCATGAAAAAAATAAAGAAAAATGATTCATGAGATACATTGTTAGGAATTGGCTCGTCAATGGTTACAAGAACCATTCAAGCTTAAGGACATATCACTTATGGCGCATATGGAAATCTGGATACCCTTCAAAATTTCAAACAAGCAATTTCATCATCAAAGGAGACACAAAGAGGTGGAATGGCTTGTTTGGGAAGACGAAGTCCCTCGAAATGTTTTTTTTCCTTGTTTCAGACCCTCTATCTGAGGGTTGAGGAGGGATGGTTGCGGACCAGTTTGAATATGCCTTTTATTCTCTCTTTCTTCCATTTGGTTTTTTTTTTCTTTTTTCACGCATTTCGTGCTCAGTAGTTTCATTCTGTTAGCACTACTGTAAGTTCAAGGGATAGAGCCAGCCTTGAACTTTAGGGTTGGCTGTGACCTTGTGGGATGGGATAGGTTGGGCTGGGGTGGAGAGATTTTACCCGGTACATCACGTGTCATAATATAAGTAGAGAGGTTTTTTTCAAGTGTCTTTAATTTTACAGCGATGCCAAAAAATTCAAACGTATGAGGCACTTTCAATTCGCAAAATGACTACAAAAGAGAAAAAGCAGTATCACGACACACAGGCAACAAAATTATATCGACAGACAAAGATATTGCATTAATATTAAGATTCAAGCACAAACTGGGATGTAAGAAGGACCTGCATTTTTATTTTTTCATGTACCTTTTTTAGCAGACTCAGCCCAGCTTATGGTTGACCTAGCCAAGGCATCCATAGGGTCAATGCATTTCTTAAGAAGAGGATCCAGGTGAAGAAGACCTCGCATATCATCGGATGCAAGAATAACAGAGTTCACAACCCTCGCCAGAAGAACCTGGAGTGCAATCCTTAAGAGATTTTGTGCCCCCTCTATGTCCTTTCTATTTAAGGCTTCAATAGCAGGGATTACAGAGTATTCCATGGTCACTTTATCCGGCAAAACAACCTCAAATCCCTGCATTTATAATACGACAAATGAATATCATAACATGATGTAGCAATAAATTTTTTTACAAGTAAAGTTAAGGAATTCATATTTAACTAGCAGGAAATGAATGCTATTTAATGTCCCGAGGAACTTGTAATCATACAAGTCTAGACAATTAAAACAGAAGCTAGAAAATGGAATTACCTCACTCTGCAGTTTCTCCTGATAGAATCCTGCTGTCAAAGTTGCATGGCTTGCAAGCACTCCAATCCGCAAAGGACTTCCGGCTTCAAGCGGCTTCAACTTTGCTTCCTTGAGCTCCTTGACAACACACTCACCAATATGAAGAAAAGGAACAGAACATCCCTTAGAAATTTCATCATGCCAAGAATGTGATATGTGACAAGGCATTACAATGCAACGAGCTCCCGATTTTTCAAGAAAAATCCTCTTACTCAGCAAATTCTCCACAATTGGAGTAGGTTCGAATTCAGGACCATCTCTTTTACTGCTGACAAAAGGAAAAGAACTTCTCTCAAATGATAAAAGCTCCTTATTTGAAACATGGTCAGAACAAAGAACTAAAGGAGGGCAACTTTCTCCATCTTTGGAACTCCAATTGACAAGTTTTCTCATAAATTTAACACTAGAATCGACAGATAGCCCTCCAATTATGCCAACTGTGTTTGGTAGACCCGGAAATGATTTTCCAGGAGCAGTGTTTCTTAAAGCTGTACTTGAACCAGAACCCTTCTTAAACTCTGAAAACGGGCCAGTTTCATCTGTGTGCAAGAGAACTGGGGATGGAGTTTTAGCTTGACCTGGATTCGACCTCGTCATATAAAGGGTTCTATGTGTATTTACAAATCCCAAGTTATAGAAAGGATAGTTCAAAGGGCGCAAAGACGTTGCTTCCATTTATCAATCTAAGCAAAAACACCAGAACCACTACTCAAACCATATAATTCTGCACAGATTTCTGAGTTGCGCAGCCTATGACAACAACCTTCTATACTTTCAACTTTACATTAGGCTCCACAGAATAAACACCCACCTTCAAAAGTTATGAACATCACCAGTAAATTAACATTTAAAAAGGAAAGTACTGAATGAGTCAATTCAGATACTTCAGTATGAAATTCAAAAACAAAAACCAAATCCTCCAAGATTGCAATCCTCTATGCAGATAATGTCACACGGCCCGAACCCGATATTCCCAAATACCAGGATAGGCACGTGCTGGCCGACACCCAAAGGTGACAAAAGCCATTTATTGAGTGCAAATGCTGAAAACAAAGGATAGATAAGACTTATAAATATAAAACAATAATGAATATGCAATTAAAGAACGTGTTTAGAGCACACCTCGAATCTAGAACACTAAAAGAAAATAATATAAAATTGAATGAAACAAAGGAATGGGTCATACACCGAGAGAACTCGAAGATGCTGATATGGAAGTGCCTGGACGCCGAGATTGTATGCCTCGATTCTAAGTCCTGAAGGGGATGTAAAACAAACATGAGTAGACCAAGTTTATATATATATATAGATATAATAAAACAGTTATCAACGTAATAACCCCCAGGTTTTATGAAAACACATATATATCATGATAAACATAGGTTTTCCGAAACCTAGCATGCTGTACAATGTCTCAAATCATAACTTGTATATATAATAATCACTAGTGAATGTCCGATAACCCCCAGGCCCCATGCTGGCTCCCCGTCTCTGAGCAGACAGTCAGAGGAAAATACACTTCAGGCCCCATGCCGGCTCTCCGTCCCTGTGCTAAATAGCCAGAGGAAACACACTCCAGGCCCTATGCCAACACCAAACCATCGCCCGGGACGGAACGGATCTATCCCTACGTCCCGTAGCGGAAAGGACCACTAGGTAAGTACAAAACCAGTGAACATACATATATTGAAAAGCAACTTCGTAGTGTAAAGTCATTCATCATCTATACTATAAAGAGGTGTTCTAAACATGTTCTAAATATCATATCGTCATCCATCGGATATTCTATAAGAACACGGATTATAGGAAAAATAGTATTAATTCAAACTAGCCTCAGTAAACATGTTATCTCATAAAACGTTTCATAAAATATAATCATCAAATCATGATTTTCATGTATGCATTTCTACTATCAAAACATACATTTTTAGAAGGGCTCCACTCACAGTACTTAGCTGTCGAAGAGCCACACAACTAGCGAAGATGGAAATGCCACAATTAATTGTCCCTAAGTACATAAAGGGTACATTCAATCAAGCTCTACTAAAATGATTGAATTTGAGAAAACGGACATCGAAAACGGGTTCAGGATGTCGAAATTAGCCTAAGAGAGTCTAGGACGAAAACCCAAAAAGTCCACATTGACCTTTGACCGGTCAAAGTCAAAGTCATAGTCAACGGGTCCGATCGGTCAACGGGTCAGGTCAACCGGGTATGGGCTTAGGGTTGGACCGGGTTTAGGGCCTGGGTTCTTGGGCTTGGTGCTAAGGCCCAAGGGTTTAGGGTTTTAGGGTGCACGGGCCTAAGCCCTAAAGGAAAATGGCCCAAAGGCCCTTTGGTTTTTTAAAAAGAAATGGGTTTAAGGGGAAATGGGTTTAGGGCTTTGAATTGGTTCCGGGTTGGGCCTAAAGGCCCGTGGGTTTGGGTTCTTAAGGGTTTTGGGATGAGTTCAAAGGGGTAAAGGGTTGGGCTGCCCAAAAGGGCTGGTTTTTTGACCCACCAGTTTCATGGGTCGCCGGACACAACGAAGGAGAGCCCGGAATTCGGCCGGAAAATTCCCGAGCTCCGATGGAGCTCAAAACTCAACCAAAACATGTCATTCAATATATCAAATTGAAGCCCCGAAAGTAAGGAATCGATATATACCCTTGTTTCCCGTCATCGTGGCCGGAGTTGGCCGGAAAATGGCCTGGAAGCCACGGGTGTCCGCCGAAAACTGGGTAAGATTCAAACGAGTATAACTTCTTCAATACTCAATGAAATTGGGTGAAACAAAAAGGAAAGTTGTAGTACTCAGCGAGACGAAGAGATTGATACCTTTCACGCCGGCTAACTCGTCGTGGTTTGACCGTAAATTGGCTTGAAAGCCGTCGGACTCGCCGGTAAAACTAGGAACACACCTCCGATTTGTTTCTCACCACAAACCTTCATCAAAGCACCTAAAATGAGTCCTAACTAGAGTTTGATCGATCTAAGGAAGATTAGAGAGAGTCCCGAAGCTTACCAAGGTTGAGGGTTCACCGGAGGAGGGAGTTGTTCTCCGAGCTTACGGTTTCGAAGGTTGGTATTCGTTCCTTCCTCCGCTGAGATGGTGACTTGGTGCATCCAAGTAAGCGCGTATGTGTGCGTATGTGTGTGCGTTTGTATGTATGGGTGTCGATCGGGAAAGAGCCCGAGAGAGAGGTGAGCTCCAGAGGGAGAGATAAGGGAGAGTGAGGGAGAAGAGAGAATAGAGAGACTCTAGGAAAAATAAAAGAAAAGGGGAAGGGAACGGGGAACAAAACAGGGGCTGGCCCCTGGGCTAATCAATTAAGATCCAAAAATCAATTTTAAAAGAAGAAGATTTAGCCTAAAATGAAATTTCACGAAAATACTTTTTTTGTTCCGATAAATTGGGACGGGTTGTTACATAATGGATTCTCTGTCTCTTCACTTTTTCTTCTTTAGTAGCTCAGTGGTAGAGCGGTCGACTGTTAACTAACATGTCATTCGGAATTAAAGAACACTGAGATCAAAATCTATATTGAAAATTTAGATTAGTAGAGGAAACTTAGACAAGATACAAAATTTCCAGGATTTGAGGATTATTATCACTGTCGCTAGGACCTATATTTTATGGCCCTCCTGAGAGAGACATGATTCATCAAGTAATAGTCAAGAAAGTGGGGACAAATCATTTGGCATCTGATAACAGTGACAAATTTGGCATTACATTATGTTTCAGCAAACCAACAGAGGGTCATAATAATATATTTGACTTGTTAATTTGTGCAACTACTATAAACTGCAGTAATTAAAAACCAAAAATTTTGATTACTTAGGAGTTAGAGGTTGGTCATGTAGCCCTGTTTGATATTCATTTCATTTTAAGTTTTTCATTTTTCATTTTTCGCGCTAGAGATATGAGTAAAGTATATAGGGAAAAAAGGATTGAAGAAGGCAGACAGGAGAGGAAACAAAATAAATAAGAGCGAAGCAAAACAAAATCTTGAAAAAGAAAGCAACTTAAAATAGAATTTAGTTTTTAGTTTTCCTTTTCTGTCTTTCCTTATATATTTCTTCTACATCTCTCTCATCATTTTTCCTCTACAATAATTTTTATCTCAAGCACGAAAATGAAAATCAAAAACAAAAAACAGAAGTGGTAACCAGCCCCATGTTTTCTCAATGATTCCCATCATATAAATTATAACCATCGACCCTCTATTTCATGAAAAAATAATTTCTTGGTGTGAAAAATGTCCAAATGGGAAGCTTTTTTTGGTTCCCTTCTCTGTTTAAAATAGACAGCTAGGATATATAAGTTGTGTACCTAATTCTTATTTTATTGAAACTACAATTGATAGCACCAAAAAACATTTTTTAATCAGTAAGTTTCACAGCCAGTACCAAATACTTTTGCAAATATACTTGACGCTTCCATGTGCATATTATTGTCTCTTAAATTTTATAAATTGCCATATGATTCTAACCACAGAAAGCTTGGTATATATAATAAGGCATACAATGCAACATTTTCCCTGAAATACTTTCTTCATATCTCAAGCACAGAAAGTTAAAAACTAAAAACTAAAAACAAAGTGGTTATCAAACACACTATTTCTTTCATTATGATTAACAAAGAATACAAAGGAGAGGAGTTTAAAAAAATATATGAGTAACGAAGGCGTACGTCAACTTATATAAGTTTTGTTTTCACGAATCGAGGAGCTCTGCAACAACGGATTATCCTCCTTACATCTCTTGTTATAGACAAGAAGGCAGCAAACAAGGGAAATGATATCGCTGGGTACATACATATAAGATCTGTGCTCGTTGATTTTCTCGAAAAGATTTCCCTTACAAGCCCCCATACGATGAGAAGCATACCAAAGAGGCTCGTTCTCCCTGGTCTAATGAGACCAAGAAAAGCTCCTGCCACTGATAAGTAGCTTCCAACAAGAACCTGGTAAACGCCAGGCCAAAAGTGAGAAAATGCATTACATAACTTAAACCTATTATGGTACTTGCTCTCTTTCTTTTCCTTTTTTTTTTTTTTTTTTCTTCTCTACATTCAAAATGCTAGATTATGCTCTCTCTTTCTTTTTTCTTTTTTTTTTTCTTAATATCTAGATTACGCTACGTACATTCAAATTTGAATGGTGTTTAGCTATTTGTTTTAAAGATCATTTTACATTCTCCCCTCACATCTCTCATATTTTTGTATCTAAACCTTCACTCCTCTGCCTTCTCTCGTTGTTTACTCACAAGAAAAACAACTGAAAACAAAACAGAAATAAGTCGCTAAAGAGCTATAAATCTTTGTCCTGCTGCATTTTTTAGCAGTGCATAATTCTAAAGTTTCAACACGCAAGTATTTGGAAGATTGATGAACCTACTTGTTTAGCGCATAGCATCAAATTTATGACACCTTGACACATAAATCCCCCTTAAGATTAACTTAATAAAATTCGAATACAGTAAAGGTTCTGAAGATACGACATATATTTCTATGGATATACTAACCTCTAGACGTTGTAGGTCAGAGATTGCATCAGCTGCCTTTACATTGGTGAAGTTATATAACTTCAAGTTATCATAGCCTGGGATTGCTTTGTTCTTGATGAATGCATTCGCAAAGGCCCCCGGGTAGAGTAGCGCCTTCACTAGAAATAAAGGAAATACTTCAGATGCAATTAACTGTGAGGATGTTACCTCTACTGGTGTTGTACATATTCCGCCGGTACAGGGAATGCTGTGGAGCAAAAGGAACAATGTGTTAATGTTTTAAAAGGAATTTAACAGGCTTAACATAGTTTTATGAAAACTTTGGTGCCATGATGGCTGCAGAAACGAAACTAAGCCCTAAATTTTGGATACCAACTGATGTGATATCGTTACCACTTTACCTCTGTTTGTTTCTAGTAATCAAAAGACTAAGATAAACTGCTGCTGTTGAAATAATCATTTGGATAAATGGGTTGATTTCTTTGCAATCATTTTCCAGTTGCTAGTTGCCTAATTGACCAAATGCAGCATAAACGGCCTACCTGACCATAGCCAAGTAGGCTAGAGCAATGTGCTCCCCATTTGTACTCAAGTTTGAATCTCAGTCCCGATAAATAGAATTTCGCTCGAATAAAAGAAAATACTAATATGTATATGGGGTACCAATAAATAACTTAAATGAGTGCATACAAGATTCCACAAATGAAAAATAAAGCCGCTTTTATAACAGTCTGCTACTGCATATAAATTCAACCCCTCGACAGAAAAGGGTAATGAAATCATAACACCGAGATTATTTGACACATGAACCCTATTTATTAAAAACGAATGCATTTGAAAACTTATTATTTTTTGGGCACTTAATTTTCTAGACAGAAAGCACCTTATGCTTCGTGCATCACCATGATAGTGTAAATTAAAAATTAATAATTAATAAGAAGGCGAAAGGGAAATAGAATTACCTGAAAAGAGGAATTTGAAGAATAATGACAAGGAAATATATAAAAGAAGCAATGGAAGATATGGTGGTTGCCCATTTCTTTGAAGAAGCCATGGTGCGAGGAACCCTACAAGGGGAGGCAGAGATGGAACTTATCACGGTACAAGACACAGCAGTGACACTTGTGCATCGAGTTTTTGTGTTTTTATTTTCCCTCTTTTTGAATAAATTCACTCAGATTTGTTTTAATGACTCATCAAAGAATAAAATTCTTGAGGAAAACTCAACTCTTTCTAATTTAAATTGTTTTCTCAATGAGGCCTGACTAGGCATGCAAGTTGGATAGAAAGTTCAATTCCGACCCGAAAATTTGTTATTTTGGCACACCAAAAATTCAAACTCTTTCTAATTAAAATTGTTTTCTTAATAAGTGGACCTAGGACATTTTCTCTTCTTGTTGTATAACCGAAGCCAACCCGTGAAGAAAGACTCAAATTTCATATAATTGAGGAAATTTTTTGAAATGTTGTAGGACTTAATACACACTTTTCAATTAGTCATATAAACTAATATTTAAGCAATTTTTCATATTAATTTTTTTAAATCATTAATTTGTCATCTCAGTCTATCTCCGTTAAGTTTTTGATTCAAAATAAGTCAGGTGTCTTGCACATGACTTGTTTTCAAGAAGGTGCTTATCCAATGGGTGTTGGTGTTGCACTATTAGTGGCTTTGGATTATAATAATAGGAGACAAAAGTTTGAAGTCGTAGCGGATTCTTGCTTTATTCTAACTACGAATACTGCCCTAAGAAATGGAACAAGGCAGAGCAGAACCACCAAAAGAAAGTGAATCAATAAGAAACCCCAAAGTTTGTTAAGTATAAAAATCCTCCCAATCGGAAACAAGAGCTGTTATACCAAACTACAGTGCAGTTTTCAAATTCAGTTTATTCAAATTCCTCCAGCCACACCACAAAGCCATAATGCTCTCTAAAAACTCTTCATGACACTTGTGAAGAATTATCAAGCACTCCTCTTATGAGCCAATTCTTAACCACCAAAACCAAGAACCACATTCCACAAGAAAAGTTACTGTGACATTCATTTGATCAAGATCAAGCTTCTGTGGTCCTAGATCAAACACTCATGTTTTGGTGTTTTCAGATACTTGTAGATCACATCAGAGGGAATTTACCCCAAAGATTGCTAATCATATTCACTTGTTAAATACAAAAATTATTACTTTGTTCACATGTTAGAAATTTTCGTATTTACAATGTCATCTCTATCATCTATAATAATGGGTATCGTATAACCTATTTGTCTTACATGTGCAATCCATGAATAGAACATGGTTAAATGCACGCATTATCCAAGTGATTAGTCATATGCCTCTCAAATACTTGTGTTAATTAAGATAGTCTACATAACAATATATGCATCTTCGTTCTACTAGCTTTCTCAACAACTCAATTTCTATTTCTAACATTGTAGATTCTCTTCATTGTGGTTTCATTTTTGGTCTCACCAAGATCTTAGACGTATCCACTAACAAGGTATATATTTTCTTTTGTTAAACGCCTTCATACGAATGTCCTTCAAGATGCTTACCAAAAGGATTGAATTGTTATACCTTTACTCTGAACTATTTTTATCTACTAATCTGTATAGGGTAAAATAGTAAAGGTGTGAACTAATTGCACCGATGTTTGCCTAAAAACTGTAGGGAATCATTGGATGCCCAGATGATTCCAAATCCCTATATGTTTTATTCAAAGATATTTCGACATGTTCGCTTTTCTGCATTTCTGTTCTCTTTTGTGTGCATAGGAGGACCACAAGCAAAATCTTCAAGGGAATACAACCAAATTGGCAGATTTAAAACAACTGTCACCTCGCCATCGAATCTTCACCTGCTTCGACTTCCAAAAACCAACAAAGTAAAAATTGAGAAACCTCAAAGCATGTGATGCGGATATTTATTTATGTTTTCCAACACCGATCTCACAAAGAACTTCAGATATATATATATCTCCGAAGAAAATAGATGATAACTAACACTGTTATTTAATAAATGGTCTCTTTCTGTTCAGTTAAAACCTAAAACGTGAATTTTCTACTGAGCTGTTTGTTTGATTGAGATGTTGCCGACAAATCCAGTTGTGAAAAAAATTATATTGAATGAATTGTACATGACTGTCTGTGATGTGACGAACATCAAAAGTTTAAGATTCAGTCTTTTCAATAAACAAACAATAGGGATTCCCCTTGCCAAGGTACGGCTCAATTATATTACAATCCGTTTAAATACTGCAAACAATCGATATAATTTAATTAAGAGTGCTGTGTAGGAATATGAGCATGATAGTAAGTTGATTTTCGACAGCTGTTATGATTCAAACAAATATAAAAAGTCTTACGATAAGAGAATTATAAGAATTACTAAGGAATAAGATTGAAAGTGCAGTGCGATCCTATCGCGTGAGTTAGCATTCAACTAGAATTTGGCTTCCTATGTGGATTATGATAAGTCATTTTTTGTGTTGGAATGATTGTTAGTTAATTGAATTTCTATAAACTGGAACTCAATCTTTTGAATATTGAGTTTGGCCTAGATGAGTGGGAGCACTCTGTAGACATCGAATTTTTTTGTGTTTACACATTTCAATTTTAGATCTTAGATGCAATAGACATTAACTCATACACAGGTTGGAGAATGTTAGAACATGAGTATGAGAATGTATGTTATGGTAATTATTTGGATTCAAATTGGTGCAGAGAAGTCTTATAGAAAGAGGTTTTGAATTGTTCCAGATGATATAGGATTGAAACACAATTTTCATCCTAGTTTTTGCACTCACGGTTGGACACTCGAATTCTAAGACAAGTGGATTGAACATTTACATATAGTAATTCTCTATTCTCACAAAACATACGCTCTATGTTGAATCAAAGGCCTATTGTTGATTAAGCATTGAAGATTTGGTCATAGAGGAGAAGGTTTGCTATAGAAGATTGGTAACTTCATATATCATCTTCGATCTCCTTAAGGAAAGGTGCATTACTTGAAGTCTGATATAGCTTCTTCTTGGACTACTTCTCTAGGTCAATTTGGTTATTATGTTTATCGAATTGTAGTTTTGATAATTGAATGATTTGTGGTTCATAAGCTTGATATGTTAGCTCATGTTTTTTGTAAGTTCAGTCTTACATCCAATTCTTAGGCCCTATAGACTAAGAAAATTGTGGTCATCCATGATTCAATCTTAAATCAACTAAATAACCGTTGATTAAAATCAAACAGTGAAATACCACAATTTTCATAAAAGATATAGTCCTAAAATAGCATAATAAAATTGATTAAACTAATGAAAGCCGCATGTTGCCTGTCTGATTAAGTTGGTTGATGATAAACACCACATCAACATCATACATTCAAGCTTCAACAATTATAAGGAAGCTTAAAAAACCTGTCACTGTAGCGTGCTATAATTATAATTGATGATCTTATCTTCACATTACAATTCATGGACAAGTTTCCAACCAAACTGAGGTAATTTTTAATTTTTATATATAAAAGCAACGATATTGAGTGAACGAAAATCATGGCACACCGCACACCGCACACCACTCACTCTCCATATATATACAAAAAAGAGCAAGTTGGTGCACAACACCGCCAAAGTCATCATCTGCAAATTCAAAAAAATATAAAAAATGAATAAGGGAATCAAAGGAATACATGATAACTTTCTTCCAATGTGAATAATTAATGTCTTCTTATTTCTAAAGACAAACAGCATTTTTTCTTAAATCGAATGTTAATAAACTTTTAGGCATCATGAACTTTCACTACCTTTTATTTTCTAAATTAAAAATAAAAAATAAAAACCAAATTGACACACTCTAACTCAATTAGCTTTCCAATTAAGGGTGAAAATATGTTAGTCATCACTAAATTAACGATAAAATTCATCGTTGAGATGACGAAATATCAACTTAATGATTAAACCATGAATAAAGAAATTGTGATGTGAAATATTTTGAAATCGTCACAAAAGCGGTTGCCAAAATAGAAACGCCAAAAGCGAAGAGATATCATGTCCATTTTCAGTGATGTCACTTGCCCTTTGGCTCAAACCAAGCACCGTTTTCACAATTTCTTACCACAAAACTGCAAAAGTCCAAGAAATACAACCAGGCACTGGAGAAATTTTTTTATTGTGAAAGGAACACATGAGGTATACCCTATGTTTTTATGTAAGTGATGAAAAATTTTACTTTTTAAGTTATTAATTTTTTAACACACATATCACACAATTTATATAATAACACGTAATATACTACCCGTGTTCTAGTTACACTAAAAAAATGTCTGCAGGCACAGGCTCTCACATGCGGATCAGATAACGTACTCATGTGGTCACGCCCCAAGGCCATAATATGCTCCTCAAATAAGAATCTGGTTTCTCGCTGGATTCTTTTTGCGAGGATCTTGAAATTTGAAAATTGTGTTCGTATATCGTACATCGTGTGGTTAAAATTTATTTTAAATATTTTATTTAAAAATAAACATAAACATTATTTGATAAAAATTGACCGTAATACGATTAATGAACATGATTCACTAACCCTTAAAATCCTTACCAAAAGGATCCGGAGAGGATCCAGTTGGCTCAAATAATTCACCACCAATCATTGCACTACGACCACCACCGCCACATCCACCACTATTTGTATGCTCAAACTGCACTCCGCAAAAGTTCTCTCAGTTTACTTCTCACTATGTGGAACAACCTCCCCTGCGACCTCCTCACCAACATCTTCTCCTTCCTCTCCGCCGACTCTTTTGCATGCGCCAAGTCGACATGCAGACACTGGCAAGCCTGCGCCTCCTCCGCAGCCGGTAACTACCCGTTTTTGCTGCAGAATCATCACCCGCCTTGGTTCGTAGCTTTGCCACTGCACGACCATGGTGCTCTATGCTGCTGCTACGCCCTCAATCCAAGTAACAACAACTGGTATGTTCTCTCCATGGATTTCTTACCAGCCCCAGTAAGGTATGTCGGCCCACTGGACAGCTTCATCTTGCTAAGGCCCACAGTTTCGACATTTCTCCAATTGGGTATGTGCAACCCTTTCACAAGGCAATACAAGCCCTTCCCAAAGTTGAACATCAAAAGGACCAACCCAGCTGTTGGTGTTGTCCCAGTCAGGTCAGTCGCGTCGCCAAACAACTCATTACTCTGTGAAACAAATGCTACCTTTCAAATTTCGTGTTTTAGTTCTAGGGTCTACGTGGCGGGTGGGATGTCTGAGGCATCCCGCGGTGGTGCCACGTATGAGCCTACATTGGAAATGTACGATCCGCAGCTTGACATGTGGTGGGTCGTCGGGTCAATGCCGATGGAGTTTGCTGTGAGGCTAACAGTTTGGACCCCAAAGGAGAGTGTGTATTGTGATGGGGTGCTATATTGGATGACCTCGGCCCGGGCGTATAGCCTAATGGGCTACGAGATTGGGTCAAACACTTGGAGGGAGCTGAGTGTCCCAATGGCAGACAAGCTGGAATTTGCTGTGCTGGTGCTGCGCAATGGGAGGTTGACACTTGTCGGCGGTGGAGTGTGCGTTTCGGGTGCTTGTGTATGGGAACTTGGGGAGGGAGATATTTGGGTGTTGGTTGAGAGGGTACCTGGTGAAATGGGTATGAAATTGCTGGGGGCTAGGGGAAGTTGGGCGAGTACAAAATGTGTAGGTGGTGATGGGGCTATTTATTTGTATAGAGATCTTTGGGCAGGAATGGTAGTTTGGAGGGAAGTTGGGGATAAGAGTAGGAGTCAGTGGGAATGGTATTGGATTGAAGGGTGTTCTTCAATTAGAGGAAAACAAGTGAGGAACTTGCAAGTTAAAGGAGTTCTTATATACCCTAATCTTGTACCCTCATTCATGTTCTAATCAAACAAACATCTCTTTTTGTCCTTTTTTTGCTTTACCCATTTTGTTTTTAATCAAGGGAAAAGTAGTGATTCGAATTGAAATATCTCTAACGTTGTAATTTACCTTTTATTAATGATTCGAATTGAAATATCCCTAACGTTGTAATTTACCTTTTATTTTCATTAATCGTTTTCTTGAAAGTAGAGCAAACTTCATGATTGGTACCTCGCGATGAAATGTTATCACCCATAAGTTGTTGGTGTCATGCTAAAAAATAGGGCACGTAACAATACAACACCCTATCCCCTTGATAATAATAAATTTAAAAAATGACAATCAAACGAAGCAAAAATTTAAGAATAAGTAAATTTCCAATTACGTGTTGTTCAGAAGGAATATTGCTGACAAGATACTCAACAAGTTTAGGAAAATATTTATATGACACAATGGGCAAGATATCTTGTAATATGAAAGGATATCGCAAAAAGGGGAAATATTAAGTTAATACTAAAGGGTATTACTCATAGGGCAAGATATCCACTTAGTTGAGCAGACACAAGTTGATAATAATCAATAACGGATATCGCTCACAAGGCAAGATATTCAAATTCAACAGTTAAAACTAATTATGGGTTTGCTCACAGGGCAAGTTATCCACTTAGTTTAGTAGAATGAAATATCGCGAACGAAGATATGCAATAAGATGTCAATAACGTATATCACCCATAGTATCACGCTACAATCTCGAGATTCGTCCAGAATTAACACGTGACGTCATTAGATCATGTCTCGCTCTCGAGACATGATCAAAATAGACTAACGGTCCAATAGCATAGTAACTTTTCCTTTTATTTCATGGTTGCATCTAACCTCTGTTTCAGACAACTTACGTACCCTAGAACGGGATCAAGCCATTCATAATTCACCCACTGATAAATTCTGACATTCCACATGGCACTTCCTAACAAAAACATGGAATTTAAGGATCATTCAATTCCTTAAACTGAAAGAGTATGATTCACATATATCACATTGCTTTCCACCAATAGTTCCATAATTACATCAAATAATAGATTCAAATCAAAGATGCACAATATTAACATCTAACTACTTTAATCAACCAAAGGTCAAATATCATATCACTAACTTTAATAAAACCAACCTGCACAAGGTTTGTCATATTTCTCTACATGCAATCCATATATCTAGTATTATAACGTTAAGTTACAACCACAAGAGTAACCTTAAGAAACTTCTATGCACAATGATATAGGGTTCAACGAAAACAGGGTTATGGACCACTCAACGGAATCCAAATCTAGAATATGCATGGTTCCCCAATGCTGATTAACTAGGCAAAACCATAGACATCCATCTGATAGCGTGATTTCCTTATGTGGATTAACCAGGCAGGATCATTTATGGATCTAATGTAGCCAAGTATGCAGTGATCGTCCTCCCCCAAATGAATGTGTATGATCCCTCAATGTTGATTAACCAAGCAATATCTAATAGAGTGGTCCCCTAATGCGGATTAACCAGGCGATGTGAAATCCCGTTCTCGGATTTCACTGTTATAATCTACGTATTTGCATTATTGAGATTTTATATTATTTTTCGAGAATTTATATTAGTTTATATGAAATTAGATTTCAATTAAACTAGATACGAAGGGTGAAGTTTGGAAAATTATTATTTACTCGTTGACCTTTTGAGGTCACAAGTAACGTTTTTGAATAGGTCTCGAAGCCACGAGTGCATAGGCGAAAGCCGTTTGCAAATCCGAATTATGACGGCATAGTTACGGACATTTGAAGTCGTGAAACTTTAGGTTGTGAAAATTATTTAATTTCCATTAGAGGGTAAAAGGCCCAAATATATATTTGGGTTAAGGGAACCGGTTAAGGGAATTAGAAAAGAACCAATGAGGAGGAGAAAAAAAACAGAGAAAAAAAAAATAGGAAGGAAAAGAGCTGCTGCTAACCCGTTTTGGGGTTGAATTGGATCCGTTAACCCACAAACTTGAACCACTTGTATCTCCTTCATCCGAACTCCGTTTTGAGTGATCTTGGTGTCCATGGAAAGCTCTTGATGAGCCCTAAATCTTTGTAGTGTTAGATTCCCCAATTTCTTTCCCATTTTTCCAGTTCGAAGCCACAAACCCACAGGTGTTTCGGCGGCTTTATCCCTTTTTTCGGTGGCTCCGGTAAGTTTCACCATCCATGACCACCACCAAAAGACTCCTCTCAACCCCAGGAACAAGGCCTAAACGGTGTTGGAGGCGTCAGAGTTCGATTGGAAGCCAATTTCGATGCACACCCACCTTAGGGTACCGGCGGTTCGTGGCCAGTTTGGGGTGTTTTCCGGCCAAATTGGCCTTGGCCGCAAGTATAAAGTTTACTCTACTCATTGAGATCGTCATTTTGTAAATTTTGGTAATTTTTTGAAATAGTTGGATTTTTCCGACGAGTCTGGACTGCCGACCGCCACCCGCAGCAGCGCATGGCCGGGGGCCATCGATGTCACTCTTACGCTAAATTAGATGTCTTGAGCTCAGTTGTGGTAATTGTATGACATAGGTTAATGGAACCTAAATTCTCTATGATACATTAATTGTTAAAAGTGTGAATCGACTATCCAACCGTTGGATCGTCACCAAACTTTAACATATGTGATATGGTTATTACCTTGATTTCTTATATTGGTATGATTTGTGAATATGAATTGGTCTTATAATTATGATTTCTATTGAAATGTGAACTTAATTAACTATGATTTGGCTTGTGTAATGATGATGTTTATGATATATATGTGTTTAATTAACTTTTTAATAATGTGAATGATAATTATGATGAATTTTATGACAATTATGGGATCTAAATATTTTTTGATAATTATTTGGATATGCTTGCCAATTGAATACCCATTTGAACTTGGCACTATAACCTAGCATGAGATGGAGATGGAAGTCAGGAGATAAGTTAGTACTTTATTAGATTTTTATTAGAAATAGTAATTAAGGGAATTTCTTGTGTTGTGCTTCATATGACTAGGTGCTGGTTAATGATAGGAGCATATTTATGCGCCTTAGTTAGCTAGTTCTTATGCATTTTTGTTATGTGTTATTCGTTAAAGTAGTCTTTTAAGCTACTTTCATGTGTTTTCAGGTTTAAAGGACATATTACATGAAATGATGCAATTGGGAGCTTTTGGAGCAAAACTGAGCTGGAATGTGGTGTATGCAAATGGAGCACGAGGAATGAACGAGGTTGAAGGTCAAAGGAGCTTAAGAAATGAAGAAATGAAAGTGAAGAGCAAGGAAGTCGGAATTGGTAACCAAAGTTTCTAAAGTTGGAAGTTTCCATTGTCGTGAGTTTCTATTCTTGGCTTTGGGCTTTTAGATGACCTAAACCCTAACTCTTTGTGGACCCTAAGCCTATGCCGCACCTAAACCCTAACCTTAGCCCATTTTAGAGCCATTGCCGTGGGCTTTAGCCCAAGTCCTTTCCCTTGCCATGCAAGGGGGGCATTTTAGGCCCAAATCCATGCATTAAGCCCTTCACCCTAATTGGCCCAAATCCATGCATTAAGCCCTTCACCCTAATTCTTCCTCCTAATTAGTGCATCCCACCATTCCATTCCATAATTTCCATTAGTGCATCCCACCATTCCATTCACACTAAAATGCCCATTATCCCATTTTTTAGCTTTTAATTCCACACCATCCCATTATCCTTTACATCCACTAAACCATGCATCCACATTCACCTAAATAAACCCTAAATTACATCCACTAAACCATCCATCCACCATAATTCCCACCATCCACACCTTTTCCCATCCACCAAATACCTTAAAAAAACATCCATTAACACCCATTCTCTTCCTATAAATACTCATTCATTCCATTCACCAAATCATCTCATTTTCCATTGTAATACACAAACACTTCCCCTTCTCCATCTTCTCCATTTCCACTCCATTCCACACTTCCATCCCCCCAACCAACCTATCCTTAAACCTTGTGCTACAACAACGAGGAAGAGAAGAGTGCCTAAACGTTCATACAATTCAAGTTTGAGTTGTTGGAATGTTTAGGTGTTTCTTTGATTTCAAAGTTATGAGGAACTAAACCCCCTTTAGCTAGGGGGTGATTCGAAACTATGTTTATATTTGCAATATGAATTGATTAACTTTCGTTGGAATTTCATAAGTTGTGGATTCAATTTGTTTAACCGTTTGATTGATAACTTATTTATGAATGTTTATTAAGAATGCGCGCTTAATTTTCATGCATAAATATGACGCTAGAATATAAGTGATTTTCACCTAATCGTTATGAACTTATATTCACAAGTAGTGGAGGTTGCTTATAAACAATCGCGTTAAATGAATTCTTGGCACGAGTTTCATGCTCATCATAGTAACGAATGCCTCGTCAACACTTATAGTTTTCATAATACTTAATGATCTTTGATTGTATCTTTATTGTGCTGTTCACGTAAAGGACTTTTGGAGAATGTTGTGAATTGCGTTGCGCAAACCCATCCAATTCATTAACTTAAGGAAAACTTGACGGTTAATTTAAGCGGACCTAATTAATCCGGAGTGTTGAGTTTCATAATTTATCGAAAGACCAACTGAAAATCATTTTGTATGCAAGTGTAACATGTGTGGAGAAGAACCTTCTAGCTAGCATTCATTCCATATTTCATCACATTCATATTTAAATTCTGCCTTTAAATTACAATTTTGTGCTTTTAATTTATTTTCGTAAAAATCTCAATCCCCCTTTACTTTAGTGTCCAATTTAGTTAGAAAGTGTCTTAGTTTGTGTTTATAAGTGTTTTGCATTCTTTGAGTCTAGTTTAGTGTTTTTAATGTTTATTTCACGTTTTTGAGTCAATCTCCAAGTGATTTTGCAATCCCTCCTAATCCCCGGTTAAGAACGATCCCTACTTATTCATATACTACAATTGTCACAAGAGGGTTTTAATTTGTGTGCTTACTTAGTTCGCATCAGTTAATATGTGGAATCGATA